ATATTCGACCGTGAATATAATTTATTCGATAGAAAGCAGATTTCGCTAAAGATTCGCTTTACCCGATGCATGAGTGTTTGACGAGCGCGCGTACGCACTCGCACGAAAGAAGCCATTCGAAAATCATGGAAATTGTTTAACGCAAGACAATAAATGGGAATACTTAAAAGCAGATGTGTTATGTATACCCACCCACTTACTGTTCATTTTTATGTAAAGAGTCAACTATCGATTTTTAAGTGGAATGACTTATTTTTTACCCCGGAAATCAATAGAGCATAGAATTTTACGTTCAAAACATGTGGTCATATGTAGAAGTCATATGAACCCTTGAGGATCGTATCACAAAGTTTTATATATATATATATATATATATATATATATATATATATATATATATATATATATATAAGTACTGGGCAAATCCGTCACACAATAGTGATTCTCAGTTTTGGCAGAGTTTGGTGAGTTCTCAGCTTCATTGTGACTAAACAGTTTTGCAACTCACCGTCTATGACGGTGGTAACAATGGGCGGATTGTATGAGAGAGAAGTGCATAGCGACAATAATGAATCCAAGCGCTCTAAATTGCACGCGTATAGGTGATAACGACATTAATCATCGAAACGCGTGTCTCGTGCACGTCGATCGCCGCGACAAATCTCCTATACATTTTCTATTAATAATTACAATGTGTACTCGTGGAGCGGACACGTAGTACGACTCGACGAGAGCACTATTACGTTTTCGCGACGCGTGACAAAACGCACAAAGAGATCTCGCGGCTGTCCGTAACGGTCGAGGACCGCCGACCACCGGTCGCTACTTTCGCTCTCGTTGTCCACATCTACGTCTTACAGAAAGTTCACTGATCCTCCCCGCGATCCGAAATTAAACCAAAACCGATTTCTGTGAATCTCCCGGCCTCGTTGTGTTCCCGAGAGCATTCGCAACACGATGACACCGAAAAGCCGATGAAAGGGGCGCTTTTCCTCTCGTTGACGAGGAGAAAAAGCGCTATCTTCCGCTTCGTTTACTTGATGATGCATGCACTCTCATACACACATATAATACATGTATTTTAAAAAGGACGTTATTTCGCGGAAACGTAATTTTCCTAAATATTAAAGAAACACTCGATAATACAGACGTCCCATTATCACTTCACACGCACATAACACGTACATAACACACACATAAAAAGGACGTAAAATATATAATTATCCAGATATTCGAAATCGATTCCAACCCGAAAACTCATTATTCATGGAGATATAATACAAATAATCAAAGTTATTCAGATTCGAAGGAATCTTGAAGTCTCAACACACAGATACACATACTCGATTTTAAAACAGTTGAACATCTTTTTGTCGATACAATTCGCAACCCGATGAGAGAACTTCTAGGAATTAATAAAAAAACAAGTTCTCTCATTTTACCATCAACTGCATTCCAACACAGAAGAAAAACTTACAGTTTTTGCAACTGAGCAAGGACCAGACGAAAAACTCGTTGACAAGAAATAATATCTCTGTTACCGTGACCAAAAGCATTCAGCTGCATTAAAATTCGAACAAGGTAACTGAGAGCAATCATGAATAAGAAACCTCTTACTGGAATCTTTCTATATATAATCGAATTTCTATACAGTTCTTGGATATAATTGAAAATTCAGTTACTCTACTAACGAATTTATTTTTTTCCGTGAAGCTGCATCGAAAAGTTTTTAAACCGTACTGAAATCATGCACACTGACAGAGAAAAGAAACATCACACAATAATGGGCGTTCTTATAGTCTCGGAGAATCAAACCTGTTCCGAAATGAGCGACTTTAATCGCACGCGATTACAGGAGTTCTCTTCTAAATATAAGCGCGCATTTCGTCGAAAAGCGACGCGAAGGACACGGTGCAATCGTGCAAGGCGAACCGGTACCGGCAATAGCCGGTAGTGCGATTGAGCGGTATAAATGAAGAGTTTCATTCTCGCGCAGGAGACCTTGAAGAGGTGCGAAGGCAAGGTCGGCGACCGATGGGGCGAGATGCGCGCGATAAATGAGCGCCGAAGACTCCTATGCGTTTCTTCCGTTGAGGCCGTCGTAGCATTGCGTCGTAGTTTTCGTGAACCGCGAACAAAGGCACGACGCGATTCTGCGCTAACGCGTGACGCTACGGAAACAATAAAGAGCGACTCTCCCAGTCACGTTTTCAGCAGTACTTTTATTAGGAAATACTTTGCACTTATTAAATGCCTCTTATATTCATAATTAATTTTAATTATAATAATTATTGTTATAGCGTTGTCCTATCTCGCTACGTAGAAGCATGCTTTTCTAACACATGTTACACGTTCTTAAAATTATAAGCATTTTTTTTATTCCTTAAAATACAGCTTACTTGTAAATCAAACAATACTTGAATGTCACAAAGTCGGCAAATGCTCGCTTGCTTGAGTTTCGAATGCGACTGCTCCCTTTGCAAAAGGGATCATCCAGAAAGTCATTGAATGAAATTCGGTTCAATGGTAAATCGAAAAAAACGTCAAAGATGTACTGGTTCGCATTGGGGTAATATGCGATTTTCCGACGTGGGATTTTCTTATCCCACATCGAATATAATTCTTTTAAACAATTACATCTAGGATTCCTTTTCCCTTCTCTCTCCGCAAAGTGTCACACTTACGGAGCGAGAATGCGAATTACTTGTGTTAATTACTAAAATAAAGTAATGATGATAATATTCCCCGATGAGAGAAACGCGATTTACGAACCCATCAGAGGAATTATAAACGCAGATTTAATATATTCCCTCCGGGCACGCTTTTCTTTTTCCTCATATCTTCTTTTTCTTATTTCTTTCCTTTTCTCTTTTTTTCTCTCTTTTTTTCTTATTTTTCTCTACGTTCTCGGAAGTCAAGATTACTTTCAAGAATACACGTGACCATCACGATATCGTAGTTCGTTGCGCCGAGAATCTCTTCGCTCGGCGCAACACCGCGATCCTGTCTACATACTCATCAAAAATCTCATTCAAGTTACACACTTAACATTGTTGCTATTATGGTTTTCTATAATTCTCTTCTTCGTCATCATTCTCTCTTTTTCGGGCGCTCGAACTCTCTCTCTCTCTCTCTCTCTCTCTCTCTCTCTCTCTCTCT